AGCAGTCTCGACCTTAGCTAAGCAAAAATGCAATCTTGAAGAAGCCATGACCAGAACTGTATCTTTTTAACTTTATTCATTTGTGTACAGTGTCAAGTAAGAACTTTTTAAATAGTACTCAAAAATCAAAAACTTTCTTCCTTAAACTAAAGCTAAAATACATTTACGTTTCGAGTCTAAGTGGAAGCATTTATTAATATTGCTTGCAGTGATATCTCATTTATAAGAGAGTCGTTGATGCTACTTGTACAATAATTAATGCCAGTAATTAGTAGTGAGAGTAGAGTATTTTCAGTTTGTTAATTAAATAATTAGATTGGAATGGACTGCATCAGTCATGTTTATCCTTCATGAAAATGCTCTAATTATTGCACTACTTTATATTACTTTGAAAGAAGTATGTATTTGTGCATAATATATAGATCACTAAGAAATAACAAAGTTAAATAAATGTCAATATAATTGTAGTGCACAGTTTTAGACTGAACCAATTAAATTTAAATTCAAATCAACGCTCAAATAAGTTGACACTTTGGATGTATAAATGTGAAGGTCTTCAACAAAAACTCAAGACCCGATTGACATTTGAATATGAATTTTAATTATTTCAGAATTCATTCCAATGTAATTCCCATCAGTGGATCGAAAAATATTTAGTTCCGTTTTTAGTGTCTCCATTTGTTCGACTGGCAGTACTTTTAATATTTTTTGCGTATTTAGTGATAGCGTTGGTTGGGCTAAAGCAATTAAAAGTTGGATTTGATGTTAGCATTTATCAGTGTTTGCATTAATTTTAACTAAATTACTATTTGAGTCAATCAATGCTCAAGCATGGATAATAATGACAATTTTTCCATCATTAACAATAATAATAGTTGTTACTGCTGCATTTCCTAAAGTAGTATCGTTTTTTCATTTCCTTCATTTTCTGCACATAAGTTTTACTTAGGATGATGAGTTTAATACCATTAATTTAATGATTTGATCTCATATTCAAACAATAAATTTTGATTTCATTAATTAGTATTGTTTTAATAACTTGATGCAAAAGCACCACTGCATAATGGCTGCTTAGTATAAAGGCAGAAAATAAAACGAATGCCATGAAATGAATAAAAATTATACTTTAGTGCTATGTGAATTATTGTTATCAGTACTTCTTCCAACTCTCAAAGTCTTAGACCAAAAAACTAATAATATGATCTTCAAATTTAGCATGCGTACTGATTAATACTAGTGATTTGAAATGAATTTTACTTCAAACTCTTTTGGAAACTAAATTTTTTTGCTTTTTTCTCTTAATTCAATTATGGCAGCGTAAATAATTAATGCAATAATTTTTAATTTAATAACTTTTTATTTTTAATGTTGTACACTTTACAAAATCAATACATTATTCATTATCATAAAGAATATAAGTACTGGAAGAAGGAAAAAATGTTGAATTAATCTTTTCAGGTGAGCAATTTGCTCAGAGACAATTCGCCACCTAAAAAGTTTTTGAAATTACGAGAGGAACTGTTCGAGCATAAAATGCCTTTACTTGAATTAGCAATTATGAAGGCACCAAAAATGTTTCAAAAAACTGAACGATCGAAATTTTTGAAAGTGTTGCAAGAATTGGAAAATAGTACTTGTACTATGGGACGAAATGGGACAGATTTTTGGTATTTTGCTTATAAACAATATATGAATGATCTTGGATTCGGTGCTGAACTTTGGGATATTTTGCAAAATAATAAACAAGTCGGTATATATTTTGCTGGAGTAGAACAAATTAAATTACTTTTTTAATTATGACATTTTTTATCTCTGGAAATAGCAAGTAGTGATTAAGCTGATATTTTGAATAATCCTATCAAGGTATATTTAAATTAATTACATTAGATCTTATATCTGCTTTATTTGCAAAAATGAATAAGCTTTCAAGTTGTCCAATATATAATTTTTGGTAGAAATACTCAGCAATCAGTCAATTTAATTAGTTAAGTATAAATTCAAAGTTAAAAAAAGAAAAAACAAAGCGAATAAATTTCAAAAGTGGCTGCAATTGACTTGTAAAATGATAAACTTTTAATTTTAACCAGAGCAATGCATGAAAGGTTTGTTTCAATAAGAAAGAAAATATATTTAAAAAAGATACATGTCACTTTCTTGCAGCAATTTGGACAGAATTTGGAGTCATTTTTGCTAGCTAATAACAAATACTTTTGTGATATTTTATTTGACAATAATAAAACAATGGTAGCGTTTCGAATGTTTATGCAAATGAAGAATATGCCAATTTATTCAAGCCAATTTATCGTGAAATGTGCCATGCAAATCAGGTTCTAATTTTTATAAACCTTAAAATATTTCTGTAATTGTTTGCATCTTAAAAGCTGGCGCTCATAGCAGTCGAGAAAGCAAAAATTAAATGAAAATAATTGTAATAATTTGTATTTTAATTATGAACTGAAATTTGACAAAAAACAAGATCATGCATACTCGGTTTGCAGTTTAATAGTTTTGCAGCAATCACTTAAGTAAGCATCTATTATCCTAAAATATCAGTTGAAGGTTTATACTTTAAAAAAGAAATCTTGTCACAATTAATTGGTGTTGTGATTTAATTGCTAGATCTTTCTTGATCTCAATTTAATGCCTATAATATTTATGAAATTTTATTAACTAACTACTTTTCGTTTAGAGGCATAGCGAAGCACTACAAAGCCTCGTACAATATTTCAACTTATTCACCTTTATGGCAATTAGCAGATCAGTTGAATATTATTTGGCCACAAACTCTACAAGATTTAGTAATTTCAGTTGGTAAGAACTTTCTTTCCCATTTAACTCCATAATTTTGACGTTTTTT